TACCTATAGATCAGAAGCCGAGATAATTAGTTGAAGTTGTACGACCATGGCTAACGCGAAGCGGCTAGCGGCTCCTGCAGTCAGCAGTGTTCAGAGTGGTGCCAGGCGTGTTGACAACGAGCGCCTACTGATTTAATGTGCTAATGCAGTATGGATGTCATGATTTTGTAGTTAGAACTGACACCCTGAGGAAATGCCCCCTCATCTGAAGCCCTAAATATGGACCCCATCCGCTTCTCAAGACATCGACTTCCTCTTTCCTCCACTTCCCTTCCCTGGATGCTCGCCCTCAGACTCTAGCTTGAAATGCCGTTCCGGACCACCCTCTCACCTCTTGCTGAGCTATAGCAGCACAATACCGCATCTGCCGTCACAGGCAGCATCGTGGGGTTGCTCCTCGTAGTGTTTTATTTCGTCGCCTCTAAGTCTAAGACGAACGATGATATTCCACGGCTCCCCGAGACGATCCCCTTTGTCTCGAACACGATCCAGTTCGCGACTAATCCAGGTGTTTTCTGGGCTCGCGTCGTGTAAGCCTGCCTCTTCGCTGAACTGTAAGAGCCAGAAGTTGCAACCCGTCCCAAAACTACCCCCAAACGATATCGCAGAAAGACAATGCACGCCCTCAACACCGAGATCCTAAGCTTCCGCCTCGCCGGGCGCCAGAGCCTACTAATCGTCGGCGAGGAGAAGACCAACACGCTGTTCCGGGCCAACACGGGGCTCTCGGTGAAGAAATACCACGACCTGCTGGTCGACGTCATGTTCGGGGCGACGCCGCGCGACCTGGCGCGCTTCGCCGCCGACGGCAGCGGGCGCGCGAAAGTCCCGCTGCCCGGCACCGAGCACCTGGCCGCGGCCGACCGCTTCTGGCTGGCGTGGCACAACATCTTCGCCGCGCACCTGCTGCGCACCAAGCCGACCGACGACCTGGCCGCGCGCTTCTTCGCCAACTTGACGCGCGCCATCGCCGCGCGGTTCCCGCCAGGCGCATGGCACGCGCTGCGCGTCGACGCGTTCCTCTTCCGGCACCAGACCGACAGCGCGCCGCGCGCGCGCGCTGTGCGGGGACCAGCTGTTTGATCAGAACCCGGCCTACTTCGACGCCATGGCCGCCTTCGAGCTCGCCATCGTGCCCATCGCGTTCGGCCCGCCGCGCTGGGCCGCCCCGGCGCCGCACCGCGCGCGCGAGCGCTTCATAGACATGAACCGCGCGTGCATGCGCCGGGCGCTGAGCGAGCCGGGTGCCGACGCGGCAGTCGCCTCGGACGCGCCGTGGGAGCCCGTGTTCGGCGCGCCGCTGATCCGCGCGCTGGTCAGGTGGGGGCTGGGTGTCGGCATGGAGGTGGACTCGATCGCCGGGCTGGTCGGCGTCCAGGTGCTGAACCAGAACTCGAACTCGGTGCCGGCGTCGGCGTGGGCGGTCATGGATTCCCTGACGCACGCTGACGGGGGCGCGCTGTTGGCGCGGCTGCGTGCCGAGGCCGAGGCTGCGCTGGTGGTGGTGGTGGTGGATGATGGCGAGCGCACGTTTGACGTGGCGAAGCTTGTAACTTCGCCGTGGATGCAGGCGGTGTATGCCGAGGAGCTTGCGGCTGCGGTGCGGCTTCATCATCACGCGCGACGTGGTGGCCGACGGGGTTGCCATCGGTGGTGTGCGTGTGCCGCGCGGCGCCATGGTCCAGGCGCCCATGACCATCGCGCACATGAACGCCGTGTGGGAGGCTGAGGGACACCCGGCGGCCGAGTTTTGGCCGGAGCGGCATGTCAAGACTGTCGAGGCGGTGGACGAGACGACGGGCAAGATGGTGAAGCGGGAAGAGTTCGGCCTCGGCAGCCGCAGTGGATATTGGTTCCCTTATGGCGGCGGCGTGACCATGTGCCCCGGCCGGCACTTTGCCAAGCAGGAGATCATTGGTACGCTGGCGCTGTTCGTGGCGCAGTTTGATGTCGAGGTCAAAGGGTGGGTTACGAGCGATGGCAAGCCGTCGGACCGCGAGGCCAGGCACGAGCCCGGCTTCGTCATCTTCCAGCCGGACCGCGATTTGGAAGTGCGTGTTAAGCGGCGGTGGTGATGGGTAGGATTTGCAGACTTCTTTGTCCAGTACGCCAACGGCATGTTATCGTTCAGTGTGGTCGACTGTCTGTTTCACAATGCAACACGATAAGCTAGGTAAATACCACAAGGTGAGTTTCTGTCTTCTGAGCAAAGACTTGATGAATCTATATGGCTTAGGTCGTTCCATCGCTAGTCAAACAATTAAGCCCCCAACAGCGGCTTGTTTATCCCTCTGTTAAATCTCTCGACACAGGTCTAATTCGCCCAACGTCAACGTGTCGGTTATCCGTGCAACCAAATATTACTTTCACATGGTCATTCCGGGAAGCTCCGTCAACCCTACAGGAAAACATTGTCAGCTTCGAAGGTCACTATGTCGTATGATATGGTAAATGAATCGGCTTACAGCTGTCGACGTCTTCAGTGACGGTCTTTCTCTTGACGCACTCGGCCGCCTTCTCGGGGGCCTGTGTGTCCAGGCTCTTGCAGACGTCGCCAAGGCAGCGGTTGTCCATGGCTCGCTGGAGGGCGTCGCCCTTCCAACCGAAGCTATTTCCAGCTAGCATGTCAGCACTCTCCCGGACAAGACGAACTGCTCAAAATGGATCTTTCCAAAAACTTACACGTAATCGCCGTGCTGGGAGTACCCGTGTCTAAACAACAGTTAGCGTCGCTGCCATACATGTGAGTGAAAGGCTGAGAAGGGACCGCCTACTCATCACCGGTGCTCCAGACAAAGGGCTGTTCCGTCTTGTCCAAGGGCCACAGGTCTGGGTCGTTGAACGGCGTGGTCTGTTCATGTCAGCCAAATCCACAGCGCGAACTCCATCTCGGGGGTAACGTCAACATGCGGCATATACTTACATCCCAGACAACCTCGTACATGACCTGCGGGATCCTGACTGGGTGGGTGTCGGGACACACGCCCCCGTCATAATCATATTCGCCCGGAGCGGTCGGCACGGCCGGATACGAAACATGGCTCTTGTGGTCGGCGCTGTCGAGATTGACGCCGTCCCAGCACGTGGGGAAGGTGATGACGCTCCGGATGCCGCCGGCGCAGAACTTGTGGGGCAGCGTGATGCTGTCGGGGGGCGCGCAGTTGAGGTTGTTGTTGTCGCCCGTGAGAGGCATGCAGCGGTGGCAGACCTTGGGGTCGACTCTCGTCGGGTCGGCGGGCCCGCGCAGGGCGGCGTCGCCGACCAGCATGCGGAAGCCGGGCTTGAAGGCCGTCGTCTTGTTCTCGCCGAGCGGCGGGATGTAGTAGACGGTGATGCCGCCGATGCCCTTGAGCCCCTCGCTCGGCTTCTGCGGCACGCGCTTGTACGTGCCGTTGCGCGCGCGGAAGTACAGCACGGCCGTCCAGTAGTTGGAGAAGTCCTCGGAGAAGGTGCACGACGTGCAGCCCGACTCGGCCACGAGGTCGTGAGTCATGCTCGCGTTGAAGGAATCGCCGCCGACGATCTGGTGCAAGTGAGGAGACGGCGCCTGCCCTGGGTTGACCAACGGATCGAGACGTTCGACCACGAGCTGCGAGCACTGGAAGCGCAGCATGGGGGGGATGTTGGCCGTGGCCGGATCGAACGGGCCTGGGTCCTGGCTGGACACTCGGCCCACCTGGCTCAGGAGGCCGGCAAGGCCGAGGGCGAGGTGCTTCAACTGAGGCATCTTGAGCAGTGCAACGCTGACAACGGATGTTGAGTGGGTTGCGTTCTGTAGCACATCAACCTGGGTATTGGGTGCCTTAGCTCTCAAATACTTATGAACCCTCCTCCCCGGCCCCATATCAGACCCCTCTTCCATGTCATCTATGGAATCCTGATAAACTTCCAGGTTAATACAAATGGTTCTCTGCATATTGGCTCGGGCGCCAGATTTAGCCGCGGGTTGTTAGTTCGTCGTCTCGACGAATGACATGCCACGCCTAGCCCGCCCTTAATATCTCCCCGCGGGCCGATGGGCTCTATATCTGAAGTGGAAAAATATGTTTGCCCTACAACGGGTCGAGTGCGTGGATTCGCCATTGCCACTGCGTCCGTTTCGTTCGAGGTCCATATTGACATGGGGCCGGTTGACACCAATGGCCCTTACTAATGTTCCGATTGCCAACAATAGGTAGACATTGAAGCCGGGACTTTGCAGTTGTTTGCTTTGGTGGGCTGCATTGCCGATTTAATACCGGGAGAGAGCGTCGGACAGTGGCTCAAGACAGTGCTCGCGATTCTAGCCAAAAGTTCCTAGTGGACAGTGATTGGAGAAAGACAAGCGAGGAAAAAGATGACCTGGATTTCTTAACACCGGCCCAGCGCGATAACCGCGGAGCTGACAGCCATCGTTCAGCTTTATCCGTGGACCCCAATTCCCAAATTGGGATCGACGACTGGAGCTTTAAGAAGCCGCGTGAATCTTGGCGCAGGAGCGGGCCGCTCAGCACTGCAACTGTGCAACAGAGAGCGCGAAACTGCCAAGAGCGACGCGGGCAATGCACCCGCGATTGCAGATGGGACGACAACGTTCAGCGAATGGGACTGCGGGGTCTAGATGGACACGAGCCGATGCAACTGCGAAGATCTACTCTCTTTCCAGAGACTAGAACTTATTCAGTACTAATTAATACGGGTTAGATACGTTAAGTTCTGGTATAAAAGTAATAGGTAGGGGAAAAAATTAAGTTTATAAGTAATCCGTCAATATTTGTAATCCCCAGCGCCCTCTTTCCCCCAGTGCCCTCTGTAAACATAACTTGATACAATGAAGTATTCTCAAGATAGTGAATGCTACACTAGGATTGAACCTAGACCTTCCATGGCCATTACGCCAAGTCAATCCCCTTAATGAAGGCCCCTAGGGGTGCTTCTCGTCAATACGACTAGGATAGTCAGATGCGCTAATTACGCCATATAGCATAGTTTTGCTTATATTATGTTTTTAATATGAAGGTTGCCCGTACGGGGAATCGAACCCCAAATCTCCGAGACACAAGGTCACGCATTCCGCTATACCATACAGCCAACTTCACATTTCGTTGCAAGGTGTTGTTCAAAAACATGCTAATGAACTCCATCCCCCAGTATAGTGTTTTTCTCAGGTTGATCGGTCGCGGGCGAACGCCATGTCGGGAGCGACCGTACTTCAATCGAGCCGGCGAGTGAAGTCCTTCGACTAAAAAGCAGCCAGTGGATTTCCCACGCGGGCCCATCCTGCCTTTTTCGGAAGCGGAGAGCCCCAGCTATCGGATCAGTTTGCAGTCTGGCTTCACTAGCTCTTGCAGGTTTCGCCGCCGAGTGTTCTGCAACTTCCTAATCGGGCAGCGACCGCCCGAAATGCGCCTGCGTAGTTGGACGAATTGTCGATAACAGAACCCCACGTGGGAGCAAAAGAGGACGGTGTCAGCGGGTGCGGGGAAGGCAACCGCGAGCCAGAACCGCGGAACGTGAATCGGGAGGAAGCCATGGTTGGATAACCGCCAATGACGTGCATGCCAATTGCTAGTGTCACACTGTCTTCGACTATATCAGGCATGCAGTCCTCCTCACCGAAATGAGACTTGCCACCTCGATATCTGCCCTCTGCTCCTCAATCAGCACAGAATGGCCCGGCTCAATCTGCTCCGCCTGGCGGTGGCCAGCTCCTTGTCGATCCCAGCGGTTCTAGCCAGCAGCATCGGGGACGTCTTCGGTTCTAGCAAGTGCCTCTTCTCCAAACCGGAGCTGTCTTGCTCCGCGGCGGCGCAACCGGGTCTGGTTGACTCGTGCTGCGTCGAAACGCTCGGCGGACTCGTGATATCGACTCAGTTCTGGGACACATACACGGGACGTGAAAGCCTCGGACAACAGCTGCCCAAGAACTCGTTCACGCTGCACGGGCTGTGGCCCGACTTCTGCAACGGCTCGTGGACGCAATACTGCGACCTCAACCGGCAGTACGACCCCAACCCGTCGCCCAACACGACAACTGGCACCCCCGCCGGAACCCCCGTGCCTGCCTACCACGGGCCGACCGTCGACACGTTCCTGGCGGCCCTCGGCCTCCCCGGCCGCGCCCTGCTCGCGTGGATGAACAAGTTCTGGATCGCGCAGGGCCAGCCCAACACCGAGTTCTGGGCGCACGAGTTCTCCAAGCACGCCACGTGCTACAGCACCTTCGCGCCCTCGTGCTTCTCAGCCAAGGCCCTCGACACGCATACGGACCTGCTGACCTTTTTCTCCGTCGCCGCCGAGTACTTCGCGCGCCTGCCAACGTATGACTGGCTCGCAGCCAGGGCCATCAAGCCGAGCAACTCGACCGGCTACACGCTCGCCGACATCCAGTCGACGCTCGCGGTCAGGCACGGCGCCACGCCCTACCTCGGCTGCTCGGGCCCCAAGTACAACGACACCGCCGCCGGCAAGGGGTCGCTGGACAACGGGCGCACGGTGCTGACGGAGATCTGGTACTACTACCATATCTATGGCCAGGTCCAGGCTGGCAGCGGCAAGCCGGTTGGGGCTGATATCAACGGTGGAAGCACGAGTAGCTGCGCTAAGGCGGCTAAGGCCGTATGGTACTATGAGCGGACGCCCGGGTCGGAGAGGGGATTCTTCTGAGGTGGCGTTGTTGTTGATGAATGGTGAATCTTAGAACAGGCTCCGGCGGGGCCGATAACAAACTGGGTACTTCTGGATGGTGGCCCAGGCCGGCCTAACAGATGGCCTGTCAGGGGGAAGAACAATATACTTTCAAACGATATGGTGATTGTCGAGGGGGGCGCGGTGGGCATGGGCCACGGCTGCAAAGTTTGACCGTCGAGAAAAGACCTTGGAGCACCGAAGGGTGAAAGGCATTAAAGTAAACTAAGAACATAATATGTATTTATATAAATATATATATAGAAAAGCAAAAAATTCAAACTAACGTTATAAAAAGGATTTATCTTGGTAAATTACACAGCTAAATTAAACATGTACTATAAATGAAAGTATTGAACTGCGTGCCTGATAGGCCTGTAGGAAGGCACCTATACACGGTGCTACAGTGGGCTCGGTACTGTAGCTGGCGGAGCGGAAGCAGTAGCGAAGTCGGGAGCCAAGTGCAGGGTAGGTCGATCAAGTGGCAGGTTGGCCAGGTGTAAGGCAAGTCTGCTAGGTGTAAGGCAGGTCTGCTAGGTGTAAGGCAGGTCTGCTAGTGCAGGGTAGGTGGTAGGGAACTACGCCCTACGGTCTAGTACAATAGTGGCTTGTGTAAGGCACTGAGGGAAGCAAGCTGACTGCTACAGGTCTGTAGAACTCTGCTACAGGCCTGCCACTTAGACTGTGAGGACTCCGCTCAGCAGTCTACCTCGTAGGCTATAGGTGACTCTGCCCTATAGTTAGGGTCTTCGGGACCAACTATGGGTGCTGAAGAAGACGGAGAGGAGTTGTATTATAGAAGGTATATAGTACAAAGAGTGGCGAGTGCGTTGCTTGCTTCAAGAAAGGAAATCTATCTAAGGAAAGGACAGGCCTTATATAGACCAAAGGTAGGCCCTCTAGAAGGTTCTAGAGGTCTATAGGCTACGTAAGAGGCCCTGTATTCGACAGTCTTCTAGTGGGCTTGTCTTACGTACCCCAAGGCTTATAGGGGATTCGAGAAGATACTGTGGGGCTTAGATAACAAACTGGGTATAGTGCCCACAACACCAACCACACCAGCACGACCACCGTAGTGCCCTACACCCTAGGGCCCTACAACCCTCAGTAACTGGCCATACTTTAACAGAAAGAAAACTCAATTATTATCATGAATCTTGCTCCGTGGAGGCGGTAACCTCTACCCAGAAGGGTATGCGATTCCTCTACTAAGCTCAATCCGCTCGCGCGGGCTCTAATATACAGTAGAGGGCGCGCCCGCGAAGCGTGCGCGCTCCTTCTTCCAATCTTCCTCCCGTTACTCTTCGATCCAATTCACGGGTCTCTTCTAACCGCCTCGGTGACAGCCATTGGGCCACATGAAAGTTAGTTGGGGTGCCCCGGCTGCGCGGCGCGCGCAGTGCGCCCGCCGCCTACCGCTACCCCCAGTCGCCCCGGTATAGCGTCATCCCCGAACCGCGTGATAGAAAACTCAATAAACTTATGTTTATTCTATAATCATATTTTCTCACGTATATTAGCAGGGCTAATATCTATTGCTAAAGCTGATTTCCGTCCTTGGTTTAACGTTCCAGAAGTATATGTTGCATACTGGGCCCACTTTGGAGTGGCCCGGTTACGGGTGTTGATCTACACCAGCAACGACCTAGCGCCTACATACTAGAAAGCGGGCATTTAACTGTCATGAGCAGAGTTTTTCGCCCTGCTTTCTTCCTTCCACAATGCAACATATTCTACCCTCTTTTTGACCCGGTTGGACGCAACAGCATATTGTTTCGGCTTTCTAGTCGCATTAAAGAGTCGATGGCATCAGCATCACTTACAAATCGATCCCTTCTCCCACTACTCAAATATCGTTCGACCTCATTCTGCCGACGAGCAGCTCGAGCCAAATCTGTCTCCTTTTGGTCAGCAAATGGAGGGCTGAGCTGCTCGGGACGAAACCCGAAACTAGTGCCGGCATAGCTTTTATTCAGGTCCAGCGACAAGTAGCTAGGAGGGAGCTGCCGCCGCGGGAAGGGTCCGAAATTGCCGCTCTCCCCGGTCTTGGTGTTGCTGGAGGTGCTGGGAGTATCAGAGCCAACGCCTCCATCCTTTCCGGAGTCGTTGAAATTAATGTCTACTTTGCTGCTTGGATGATGAGATAGAGATAGAGCCATAGATTGCGAAGCGCTGACCTCGCCGTTCTTCGAGTCATGAGATGCATCATCCGTGGTTTTCTTGACGAATTGGCTCCAGGAGGGGAGTCTGAACTTGGGGAGTCTGAACTTATTGGAATCAAAAAATCTAGCACCGCTAACGTGCGTGATAAGCGAGTTAGCCAGACAAGCGAGCTAGCCACTTCAACTTCTCATATATAACCCTGAGAATATATCTTTATAAAAGTCATCTAATTCTTAGTAAAAACTTCTAAAAACTTCAAACTTGTAATATAAGTATATAATATGAGTAAAAATGTATACCATTACTTGCTGACTAATTTAGCCTTGAAAAACGGAATATAACCCTAGGGTTATATATGTAGGCAAGATTGTAACTACAAGTTTACTATCTTATACTTAGTGTAAAATTTTACATAAAATCATAATAAGTTTCTTCATTATTATAAACCCTAATATCAAATCTCGGGGCCTTTTACTAAGGTTTGGTGATTTTAGCAAGGGTTAAATTTCAGGGTTATGTTAGGGAAATCGGGTGGCTAACTCGCTTGTCTGGCTAACTCGCTTATCACGCACGTTATCTATATTCGAGTTGAGGTAGTAGTCTGGGTCGTATGACGGAAAGCCAGGCTTGGAAGTGGCGGCCTTGCCTGTTGTAACTGTGTTTAGCGAATGGACCGTCTTAAGGAGACCCGCGCTCTGTTTGGTGTAAAAACCATACTGACCTGGCAGAGGCGGCTCATCGGAGTCATCAATTCCCTCAAAGTAGCGGGTGCCGGCAGAGGGGCCTGGCGCGGACGGTATATTGGCATACGGATCGTTATCGTATCTATCAACTTCATCGTGAATCTTTCCGTCAACTTGACTGGGTACTGTATCGCCGAATTCATACTGAACTAGGTTGCGGTCAGGAACGTTAGAACCTCCGTTATTGCTGTCCTCATTTCCGGGAAAGTGCGGGTCGGAGACTGGGGCCAGCTCGTCATGAGGACCACATGCGGCACGGTACATTAGATCGAGACCCGTCTGTCCGGGGGTTCTCCCCGTCACATCAGTAGCTCGCTCACCCCCCGTCAGACCCCCCGTCAGCTGATCCCATAATTTGGGGTCTATAATTGGAGCCAGTGAGGGTGAAGTAGTCCTGGAATCCGTTGCGCCTGTGAGTTTCTGGTTGAATTCCGCAAGATGAAGGTGTTCCCAACCACCAGCGCTGTTATCTTTAACAGGAACAGGCTCAGAAGGAAA